TGGTCACCTCCGGGGCAGGTGGGGATCGAACTCATGTGGAAGTGGCTTTATATTCTCAGTGTTGTGCTTTAACCCACTGCGCCACCAGGGAGGGCCTCCCTTTAAATTTTTAATTTTTAGATTTTTAAGTTTTTGCGGTTCTCTTTGGTGTGAGGGGAGGGGCAACATACTGCAAAGACGGCTGCCTGACGTTACCCTGTGTCTTGGTTTTTGAGGATTGAAGTAGGGAAATGTAAATTCTTTGGTCTTTCTTAGGCAAAGCATTCATGCTTTTGTGCAAAATTTGGATATTCTGTTTTCTTTCTTACTGGCTCTGAAATCTTTGGTGAGTGCTACTGTTACAGAGGAAGAGTGTTTTACCCACCCAGTCAGTTACCTTCAGCTTTCTCGGAAGTGTAGGCATGGCTTTGTCTGCACTCCGGGGGCAGCAAGCAGCCCCCCCCCCCCCAAAACCTTGCTCTGACCATCTGCCATTGGCGCTTGTGAGCCTGTCACTATGAATGACCCAGGTCCACTTAGGGACCTGGGTCAGGAGAAGGTGTGTGTACCCAGATAATCAGCGGTGGCTGCCAGGTGTGGCACATGCTCTGCAGGACTTTCAGGCAACGGAAAATGCACAGCTGTATGTGTCACTCGCGGCTGCAGTATGTTCTCGGCAACTCAGCTCTTCTGTCCTCCTTCTGCCCTTAGGGGAGATCATGGACCTTCCTTTTATTCTTTAGAACTTGTCAGAATCTTGAGGTTTGGAATTTAGTTTGCCCAAAGTTCCTTTTGCTAGCAATAGTACACTAAAAATTGAACTTTCTTGTTTTCTTACCCTGGTGTTTTCACCCCCAGGTAGTCTAGGTTGGGTGGATTTGACTTCTCAGGAGAGATGTGTCAGCTTTTGTAAGGAATGGAAGTCTCCATTGCTGCCACCCAGTGGCTTCCAAACATGGGAGAGCAGCTCTCTCCCTTACATTCACCTTATTCTGGCTGTTTAGAAACAGTATCCATGTTATGAAAATGACATACCCTCCCTCCTTTCCTTCCGCGTGTGTGTCTGTGTGTTGTCTGTGTCACCTGTGACCAGTAATGGTATAGTTTGGGTATTCTGGTGTTGGTTTTGTTTTGTTTTTTGTTTTTTTTTTTTTAAACTAACTCTCACCTGTCTTTTTCCTTCTGCGCTCACTCATGCTACCCCACTCTGCCTCTCAGATCTTGCAGTTTTCAAGGAACGACTTCGAATGCTAACAGTAGGAGGTATGAAAATAACAAGCCTTCACTTTCTGCAGCTGAGAACTTCATTTGATACAATTGGGCAACTTTCCCTAGCATGTAATTTGGGGAAAGTTGATGCAACTTCTGTCAAGTGTTTGAAGTTTATTGTTTTGAATTGTTTCTCTATCACTTAGTTATGAATCAATGGTAGAACCACATTTATCATGTCATTTTTGTTTCTGTCCATTCTGTGTTCTGAAGGGCATCTTCACTCAACTTTGTCTGCCATCGCTTTGCTCCCATGTTCAGTATGTCTCAGACTCCTACTATAACCAGCAGGGACCTGAGGCAAAACTACATCTTGCATGTTGCCACATCCTCTCCTGTATATCTACACTGTACCTTTGACTGGTCTCTGGATTCTTTCAGATTCTGCTTCCTGGGCATTTTTGACAGTGATCTTCTCATGTTTGATAGGCAACCAAAGTATTAATAATAAGTCTTTAATGGCCCGGTCTTTAATGGCAAGACACTTGAGGAATCCAGAGTTGAAGTGCTGGGGTCACCTGCCTCCTGTCATTAACCCCAGTGACCAATCTTTCTTCCATATCAGGCTTCTCTAAGAAGTTCTCTTTTTCTTTTATCTGTGGTTCTGCAGTGTTGATCTAACTTTTATTTTAAGATAATTGTACCTTGACAAATAGTTGTTAAGAAAAAAAAAAGATTCCACATTCCTTTTAGCCCATTTTCACCAAGAGTACCATCATGTAAACCATATGACATCACACCAGAACACTGACACCAATAACAGTCAAAATAAGACGCCTGCATCGCCATAGGAGTCCTTCCTGCTGCCATTTATAGCCACATATGCCCCTGCCATTCTACCTTGTATTCACCCCTGGCAACCAGTATTCTATTGTCCACTTATAAACGTTTGTCATTTCAAGAATGTTAGACAAGTGGAATCACAAAATACTGCCTTTTGGAATTGGCATTTTTTTACTCCACATGATGTTCCAGAATTTCATCTGGGCTGGGTTGTTTGTAATTTGCTCCTTCTTATTACTGAGTCTGACTTGGGTGTACTTGTTTTATCATTCACTCATTGAAGGACATTTGGGTTAAGTACATTCTTCAGCTAGTAGTATCTCTTATAGAAGAAAGGTTTTTGCATTTTAATGAAGTCCAACTTAACCATTTTTCTTTTTATAGGTAGGTCATCATGCTGTTGATGTCAAGTCTAAGAACTTTTCTTGTCTCTAGAGCCAAATATTTTCTCTACTTATCTTTCTAAATATTTTATAGTTTTGTATTTTATATTTAAGCTTATGATTTGTTTTTAATTCATTTCTGCGTAAGATACAAAGTCCACTCATGGAGTCTGGTTTTGTTTTTTTTTTTTGCCTGTTATGCCTAATTGTTCTCTCATCAGTAAGGGAAACACTTATCTTTTTTTCATTGAATTTTTTTTTTACTGTTTGACAAAAATCAGTTAGACTTATTCATGTAGGTTTATTCCTAAATGCTATTCTTCTTATTTGATCTGTGTGTCTGTTCCTCCATTTCCACACTGTCTGGATTACTATAGCTGCTGAATTTCATTTTCCTTCTTTCAGATTTGTCTTCACTATTCTAGGACTTTTTTTTTTCCATGTAAATTTTAGAATAATCTGGTGAATGTTTACAAAAAACTTTGCTGACATGTTGTTTAGGAGGAACTGGCATCTTTACTGTATTACCTTCTAACCCATGAGCACAGTATGTCTTTTTATGTATTTATATCTTCCTTGATTTTTTTGTTAGTTTTTCATAGTATTTCCATGAGTTCTGTATAATTTTTTATTATATCTACATATAAAAAATGTAGATGTTCCAGAATAAAAAATACATATAAAAATTCTGATGTTCCTATTATTACACTTTATTTAATTTTCCTATTATTACACTAACATCTAGGAATGCAGTTGACTTTTGTGTTTGTTGTATCCTGTGAAATTAATGAGCTCACTTTAAGACTTTTTTTCATAGATTCCTAAGGATTTTTTGTATCAACACCTGAAAGTAGAAACATTTATTTTCCTTTTACTGCCATGAAAAAAAAACTTCCTGTACTTTGTTGAATAAGAGTGATGAAAATGAACATTCTTGCCTGGTTCCTTGATCTTAGGAAGTAAACATTCAGTCTTTTTACCATTAAATATACTAGCTGTAATTTTTTTTATAGGTTCTCTTTATGAAATTGAGGAAGACTGTCTGTTCCTGTTTTTGTGATAGTCTTTATTGTCAGTATGAAATTTTGCCACATACTTTTTCTTCATCTGTTGAAATGATTGTATGGTTTTTCTCCTTCTGAGAATCTGATTGAACAGTGGATTACATTGATATTGAACCAACCTTGCATACTGCTACATGACTGGTCTGGCTTTGGTACTGAATTCTTTATCTGTATTTTTTTTTAAAGATTTATTTATTTATGCATACAGAACTGAGGGGTACAGGCCAGAAATGCAAGGGTGGTGAGAGGCTTCACCAGAGACAGAGCGGAGAGCAGAACAGGCAGATGGACGAAGTACACTGCTGAGGGGAGCCGCGGGCGGGTCAGGAGAGGTCTGCCGCGCCATGTGGTCTCCTCCGGGGAAGGCGGGAATCGAACTCATGCAGAAGTGGCTTTAGCTTCTCAGTGCTGTGCTTTAACCCGCTGCGCCACCAGGGAGGGCCATTTATCTGTATTTTTTATATTTTTTGCAACTATATTCAAGAGGGATATTAGACTGTAATTTTCTTTCATTGCACTACCTTCAACTGCCCTTAGTGTCAGTGTAATTCCAGCTTTGTAAAGTTGAGTTGAAAAGTTTTCCTATTCTCTGGGAGAGGTTGTATTGGAGAGGTGTTAGTTCATCTTTAAATTTTTGGTAGAATTCTGCAAATCTGTCTGGATCAGAAATATCTTTCTTCAGAATCTTTTTTTTTTTAATTTCTTGATAGCTATAGAGCTATTAAAATTATCTACTGCATATTGGGTAAGTGATGTTTGTGGTATTCTAGGGGTAGTTAGTTTCATCTAGATTGTCAGATGTAGTGTAGGAATTGTTCATGCTTTTTCCCTTATTCTTGATCTGCAGTGAGATGCACCATCACATATTCCTAGTAATGGTAATCAGTGTCTTTTTGTCTTTTTTTTTTTTTTAAGATTTCTTTATTTATGTATACAAGAGCTGGGGCACAGACCAAAGGTATAGGGGGTGAGAGGATCTACCAGAGACAGAGTGGGGAGCAGAACAGGCAGATTGAAATACACTAGTGCGGGGAGAAGCAGCAGGTCTACCAACCCATGTTTGTCATCACCCTGAGCAGGAAGTGAACCCGTGCTGCAATGGCTGCACATAGCTTCTTAGTTCTGTGCTTTAATCCATTGCGCCACCAGGGAGGGGCCTTAGTGTCTTTTTTTCTTTGTAAGTTTTATTAAAAGTTTTTCAATGTTACTGATCTTTTCAAAGAACCAACTCCTTGTTTCACTGATTTTTCTCTGTTGTTTTGCTATTTTCGATTTCATTGAGTTCTATTCTTTATTCTTTCCTTCTAAAGATTCCTTGTTTTGTTTTCCTTCTTCAAGTTTTTTTTGTTGTAGGATCTTAGATTACTGACTAGAATCTTTCCTTCACTAATGTGTGTATTCACTGCTGTAAATTTCCCTCTTAAAATATTTAGCTATCCAACAAACTTTTATATTTTATGTTTCATTTTCTCTTTAAGATTTTATTTACTTATGCATACAGAACTGGGATGCAGGCCAGAGGTGCAGGGACAATGAGAGGATTCACCAGAGACAGAGTAGGGAGCAGAAGAGGCAGATTGACAAAGTACACTGCTGAAGGGAGCAGCGCGCAGGCCAGGAGAGGTCTACCTTGTGGGTCACCACCCTGATTGGGGATCGAACCCTGGTGAGGCTGCTGCAGCTAGCTTCATAGAGCTCCCTTTAACCCATTGTGCCACCAGGGAGGGCCTATGTTTTTTTCATTATCATTCATTGCAATATTTGAGCTATTTTGTTTGACCTTTACTATTTTCTATTACCCATAGATTTTTAGAACTTGGAGATTTTCCTTTTCTTTCTTTCTTTCTTTCTTTTGTTTTTTTGTTTTGTTTTGTTTTCAAGTTCTAATTTGATTCTGTTATGGTCAGAAAAGGTATTCAGTATGATTTCAATTCTGTCAAATTTTTGAGATTCTTTTATGGCCCAATTTATTGTCTGCCTTGACATGTATGTGTCCATGCATACTGGAAAGAATATGTATATTCTGTTGTGGAAAGTGTTCTATATGTGCCCACTAGATCCTGTTGCTGTCTTGCTATATACTTCTTAATTATTTAGAGAAGGGTATCAAAGTCTCCAACTGTAATTGTGGATTAGCCTGTTTTCCCTTTCCATCCTGCTTGGTTCATGTATTTTGTGGCTCTGTGGCTCAATGCATACACATTTAGGATTGCTCTATCTTCTTAGTGTACTGACTCTTTTATCATTATTTCTAGTATAATTTTGTTTGATATCTGATATCTGTATTACTTGACTAGATAGCCCCTCCTGCTTTTATTCGATTAAGGTTTACATGGCTGGTTTTTTAAATTCCTTTACTGTTATATTTCTGCGTCATCATAGTTGAAGATTTCTTATAAACAAGCAAATCATTGAGTTCTGTTTTTAATCTGCTCTGCCAGTTTCTGATATGATTAAGTCATAGGATTTGGGTTTTTTAAAGATGTATTGATTTATGCATACAAGGTATAAGCCAGCAGTGCAGGGGGTGAGAGGATTCACCAGTGACAGAGTGGGGAGCAGAATAGGCAGATGTACTGCTGAGGGTAGCAGCGGCCAGTCAGGAGAGGTCTGCCACGCCATGTGGGTCACCTCCCTGGCCAGGGATCAAACTCATGCTGCAGTGTCTGTGAATAGGTTCGTAGTATTGTGCTTTAAACCTGTTGTGCCACCAAGGAGGGCCCTTAAGTCATAGGTTTAAGTCTGAATATTTTGTTTGTCTTTTTTATTTCTCTGCCTCTTCTTGATTTCTTATAGGGGATTTAATGTATTTTAAAATTTCATTTTTATTTGTATAGAGTATTTTCATTTGTATTTCATTATGTTTAGTGGTTTGTTGCCTTTTTGGTGTCATCTAGATATTACATTATATAATCACATAACATCGCAATCTGTTGGTGATATCCCTTCACTCTCAACACTTATAATGTAGTTGTCTTTTACATATATTGAGAGCCACATCAGTGTTGTAAATATTTTTTTAGTGTTGTAAATTTTGTTCCACCCAGCAAACATGACTTAGAAGACCCAATAGAAGGAAAGTGTTTTACTTACCCATATTTTTGTTTTCCATGTTCATTCTTCCTTTTTTTTAAAAAAAAGATTTATTTATTTATGCATACAGAGCTGGGATACAGGCCACAGGTGCAGTTGCAGTAAGAGGATTCACCAGAGACAGAGTGGGGAGCAGAACAGGCAGGTTAACGAAGTACACTGCTGAGGGGAGCAGCGTGCGGGTCAGGAGAGGTCTGCCACGCCATGTGGGTCGCCTCCGGGGCAGGCATGGATCAAACTCATGCTGAAGTGGCTTTAGCCTCCTAGTGCTGTGCTTTAACCCGCCACACCACCAGGGAGGGCCCCCTTCTTCTTTTTTTTTTTTTAATTATTACAAAAGTTTATTTTTACATCATTTTTACATCCTTCTTCCTTCTTAATGTCTGATTCCTTCTAATATATCCTTACCTTTTTGTTTAAAGGACTTCTGTTAGCCCTTCATTTAAGGTGATAATCTCTCTCAGTTCCCTTCATCTGAGAATATCTTGATCTCTCCTTCATTCCTAAAGGATATTATCACTAAGGAGAAAGTTCTGATAGATAGTGCTCACCTTTCATCTCTTAAAAAGTGTGGTGCCACTTCCTTCTGGCCTTCATGGTTTCTGATGGGAAATCTGCTGTCATTAATTATTTTCTGTGTAGGTAAGGTTTCATTTTACTATGGCTACTTTCAGATTTTTATCTGTCCCTTAATTGTCAGAAGTAACAAGTTACAACATGTTTGGCACAGATTTCTTTGTGTTTATTCTCTGAATTCATTCATTATCTTTAAGACTTTTACTGTATTTTGGAAATTTCAGCCACCTTTTTTCCCCCTATCTTTCTGAAATTAATTGACACAAATGTGAAGTTTTTCCTTGTACTGTCATGTTTCCCCAGGTATCTCTTAATTTTTTCCCCCTCGTTTGCTTTCCCTCTGTTTTTCAGACTGGCTAATTTCTGTTCTCCTGCCTTTAAGGTCTTTGATCTTCTATTCCCTGATTCTGCCATTGAACCCATCTATTACATTTTAATTTTGGTTAGTACATTAAGCTGCTTCAAAATTTTCCACTTGGTCCTTCTTTGTACCTTCAGTGTTTTGCTGGCACTTTCTACTTCTTTGCTGAGACCTGTTTTTTTTTCCCCTTTGTCTTCATCATGTTTTAATTCCTTAGTGAAACCATTTGATGGTGGTTCCTTCAAAATCTTAGTCAAGTAATTGCTAACATCTGTCATTTTGGTGTTGGTATCTGTTGATTATTTTATCCAGTCTGAAATATTACTGATTCTTGTTTATTTAAACAAAGACATTTGGGGTGTCCTGGGACTTGAAATCCCATTCAAATCTGTTTCCTCTGAACACTGCTCTGGTGTTCAGAGGAGGGGCCCACCCAGTTATTCTTAGGTGGGGATGGTGCCCTGAGGTCTGTGCTGACATTGGGGTGGAGGAGCGGGCTGGTACTTTACCTCTTAGAAGGAGTGAAAGTTTTGATTCCCTATTTGGACCCTATGAAACATTAGGTTGGGATCAGAGGTTGGAATCCTTTATAGCCTTTGATGGGTACAGGATGTCTGCACTCTGTTCTGTATGTTTGAGTAGGATAGAGTAGTTATTGTATAAAACTTTTCTGTCCTGGTAAGCTACTTCTCCTGACCCCTTAGAAAGAACAATAGGTTGTACCCGTGCGGACTTCTGGGTTGCTGGTTCTTTGCTCTGTTTGGATATGGATGACCAAAGGAAACCTAGGGACCTCCCTGCTGTTTTTCTCAGACTTCACTGACTGGCCCATCCCTCTTCACCTTCTAGAATTATCTTGTTTGTTTCATATATGATGTCTAGGGTAGTTATGGGTTATTCAGTGGAGTATTATGAAAGAGTACATCTAGTCCACCTTGCCAGGACATCTGTACATCTCATTTCTCAAATGACTAAGGAACTCAGAAATAGGCCAGTGGTTTTGAGGTTCAGCAATACAGCCTAAGAATATCAGTTCAGAACAAAAAAGTGAAGAACCAGACACAAAGTGAGGTCTAGGGGTTTTCATATTAAAAAGTCACACAGCCCAGGTTCTTCTGGGGAAACATGCCTTACTGGTCAGCTCAAGGGTCAAAATATTACCAACAGAGTGTATACTCTTTGGATATTGATATTCTGGTTTCCGGATCCTCCTCCATTATCTAGGGAAAATACTCCCAAACCAATTGCGGCTTTCTCTGTAAACCATGAGCAGCCTTTGAGGACAGAGCCAAGTGATTTGCCCAGACCCACATGATGGCAGCCCCCATCTTAATAGAGTAGCAGAAAAATGTGCACAGGCTTAATTAAATAACTATTTCCTTCATACCCTCAGGAAAGAACACCACTTTGCTTTTGTTTTCATAAAATAAAACTTGAAAAATGTAAAATTTGCTTTTAAGACTAGAACTATGTCCTAAAGCATAAGATAATTAAAGACTGTGATTCTTAAGCCAGTTTGAATCTGAATAGATTACTGGCTTACCGCTGACTGACTGACTCACTTATGGAAACTGGAAGTGTGCATTTCTACACATTTCCTAGAGATTCAGATACCTACTTAGCTTTGCAGGCAACTTCCGTAGCCCTATACTGGATTGTTATGTATCACAGTTGTTCTTATTTACACTCAGGTAGACCTGGAAACAGGAGAAGTATCTGATTTTGTGCAGCAAATGTTCAAGATAATGGAGTACTTGTTTCAGTGTCACTTTCACCTGACTTTGGGTTATTGGTGTGAAGTGTTGGAGCTCTAATGGCTCTGAAGTTCCCCTGTACCTCATTTTAGCCATGCAGTCTTTCAGGGTAAGCCATGCAGCTAGTTTTCCTCCAAGTCTCTCTTCCCCTTGGAGATATTCCCCTGTATAGGCAAGCTTACAATGCCCAGTAAAGAGCCCTCTGTCATGTTTTATCAGTTGGAAATATGCTTTCAGGTGAATAGGCTTCTTGCATAAATTAGTTAATTTACTGATCAATCAGTAATTATTTGTTAGTATTGGAAGAGGGAGAATTTCTATACATTGTTGTCTCAAGAATAGGTTCAGATGTGAGATTTTTTTTTGAAGGGCACCATCCATCATTAAAGGATAGCCATTTAGTCCTCTGTTCTGCTGATGAAAGCTCCCCAACAAAGCACTCAATTTGGTAACTGTCCCTTCACTTCTTACGTCTCCCCGGTGCCTGTCACTTACCACATACCTATATCAATACCACATAAAACATAAATGATTTCTTCTACTCCAATTCTTCATTTTCTATTTGAATTTTCTCCCTAACTTTTTTCCATTTGCTTTCTAATTGACTTACCCAGTGTCTTTTCAAACCAAAATTGACTTGTGTCTTTGGGTCTTTGAAATACATTTTTCTCTAAATTATGGATAATTGGTGCACTAGACTAATATATGCATAATATGAATTTTATTTTCACTTACCCTATGATACCGAGTAATAATCTCAGCTTCCATTCATTGCTGAAGTTGTGTTTCTGACTATAAAATATTTATTTTCATATGTTTCAGATATTTTTATGATTTTTCTCTTCTCTTTTCTCTCCCTTGGGGAGTTCCTTCCCCTTTCCATAAACTGTGGCCCCTGTTTGGCTATGCCCATCTTTCCTCACCCTCCAGGGTTCTATGGCCTAGATGAGTCTGACCTGGACAAGGTCTTCCACCTACCTACCACCACATTCATAGGAGGGCAAGAGTCTGCACTTCCTTTGCGGGAGATCATCCGACGACTAGAGGTAAGGAAACAAGCTCCATTTCCAGAAAAATCTAGTGGACTTGCTTGCTAAAACCTGCATTGGCAGGAGGCCTCTGGACTAGCTTGTCTTCTTTCTTCTTTATCTTTTTTAGTGTAGGGGAAAGGAAACTTTTTGCTATTTTGGAAATAAAAATCCATGTTTTTACAATCAACTATAGTAAGGAAAAAGAAATTCCTAACATTTTAGTCCCGGTGGAAGAGGAAGTTGTCTGGGGCAGCTGAAGTAGCGCTCCAGGAGTCGCAACCATTGCACCTCTGTCCCAAAATGCCTCATGTCCAGGGCTCTTCAGAGAGCTGCTTATTCTGGGTCATTGTTCCTTGTCCCTACTGAGAATACCCCATGCTTACAGTGTACAGATACTTGTGTAAACTTGTTTGGTGATGTTGCATTAATTTGGTATGGACATGTATACACCAGATTGCTGGTATGACCGGACAGCTTTACAGTTCTCTTGATCCCAATAGAATGAGAAATGATGACTCAGCCTAAAGCTCACTGCCCTTTTCTCCTGGGGACTGAGCCAACAACAGAAAAAAGCAAAAATGATCCAATGCCTTACAACTCCATGTCCCAAGTTAATAGCTAAACTCGTGCTGATACTACTGGAAATGGACTCATTTCTAGAATTTTTGACTTAATGTTTTTCTTTGAGCTTTTTATTGTTCAGTAATGGAAACATTGCCCATGTCCAGCATCAGGAGCATAGCACAAGGAGTATTCTCAAGTTATCTCACCTCACTATGGGAAGTGTCATAAGGAGAACCCACCTGTCCCCTCTACCAGACTTGGGCCACAAGGAATGTGTGTCCTTTTTTACCCTAATAAAAGAAAATGACTGTCAACATGTACTATATAACCAGACCATGTTTTCTCAAGTATTTTTATGCAGAAATGTGCTGTCTTCCCCAGATAAGTAGGTCAAGGTGCTGTAGAGCTGAGGTGGGAATGGCAGTCAGATGTTGGTGCCACAGGGAAGGCAGGCAGACTGCATGCCTTCCGGGGCTGCCTGGTGTCTGATTTAGAAAAGTTTCCGGCTTGGCCATCTAGTAAAATAGTAGGTGGGTTAATGAACCTTGAGCAATTTGGGGGATAAGGGTGCCAACCCCTGAACAGTCAACTGTCTACATATGACTTTTGATTCCTCAAAAACTTTACTAATAGCCTGCTGTTGACTAGAAGTCTTACAAATGACATAAACAGTTTATTACACATCTTTTTTTTTTTTTTAAAAAAGATTTATTTATTTATTTGTACAGAACTGGGGTACAGACCAGAGATGCAGAGGGTGAGAGGATTCACCAGGGACAGAGTGGGGTACAGAACAGGCAGATCTACGAAGTACACTGCTGAAAGGAGCAGCGGGTGGGCCAGGAGAGGTCTGCCACGCCATGCGGTCACCTCCAGGGCAGGCAGGATTCGAACTCATGCGGAAGTGGCTTTAGCTTCTCAGTGCTGTGCTTTAACCCGCTGCGCTACCAGGGAGGGCCCTACACATCTTTTTTTATATCCTATGTATTTTATACTGCATTCTTACAATAAAGTAAGCTAGAGAAAAGATACTAAGAAAATCATAAGGAATTAATTTATGTAACACTACATAATATGTTTATAAATACCGTAAGTTTGATTTGCTTACAAAGTAGTCTGCATGTCAGTGGACCTGCTCAGTTCAAACCTGTGCCATTCACAGGTGAACTATAATTAAATACAAAGTTCCTTCTGAGCTCCAGTTTCCCTTTTGTTTGAGGTGAGATTGTCCTCCTCTTGGCTAGGAGGGTGATAGTGTTTCGCTGGCCATTAATTTGAGTTCTGGCAAATTTTGTAATTATAGAGTTGAGTACAGTAATATCCATTCCTGCTTCAGGATTTAGTCAGTGGAGAAGAGGGATCTGGTGTCAGGTCTATACCCTGATGCCAGGACTGTGGACACATTCCCTCCCTGTGTCATGCCAGCTGGTTTCCATGTCTGTTATGAGAACCAACAGAGTCCATCACAGACATAGCCTGTTCAGCCTTTAACTCCATTGCTGATCAGTTTTGCTTTCTTGTTCTGACACCAGAATTGCTGGCAGATGGAAGAGGGAGGTGAGCATTGGTCACATGGTTCAGGAAAATTGTGGATCCTACAGAATGTTGCCTGGAGCAGTCCCCTGGAGGGTGTCCACAGAGTTGACTGCCTTTCTCTCTGGTTTATCACATCTCTACCTCCCTTTCCCATGGAGCCTGCCTACCTCAGCTCTCTGCCCTCTCACCTTAAGCTTTTGGCAGGACACATGGCCACTTTCAAGCTGTAATGTGATAGTGGTGACCTAGGAAGCACTGTATCTATTGACCATTTATGTTCTTACACACGTGACTGCTTTTCTGTAGGGCCTAAAGTTCCTAAAAGTAATCTGTTAATAAAATGAATAATTTAAAATCTAAAAGCCAATGAACCTTAAGTATCATTGATCTGTGTTATTTCCTACCAGCACTGGGCTTTTCTTTCTCACATTGTCGGGGACAAAGTCAACCATAAGGTCAGAAAAGCTGCCACCTTTGGGAGCTTTCCAAACCCCCAGCTGTTGCTGTCCTCCCTCCCACTTGAAGTGACAGAGTAAACATGAGGGTCATGCCTCAGCCCCGGGTTCTCACCGTCCTCTCCTTGTCCATTGGGATTTGCGCAACCTGGGTCTCTGGAGGACGAAAAGGTTGAGGGGACAGCCTGATGCCATACAGATCTGTGTCCTGACCACAGTAGCTCTTGGTACATTTGAAATGGAGGTCACTTTTAGTCTTCAGCCTCCTAAGTGGCAATAGCAAACCTGGGTGAAATCCTCCTACTTGTTAAAACAGATGGCCTACTGTCAGCATATTGGCGTGGAGTTCATGTTCATCAATGACCTGGAGCAGTGCCAGTGGATTCGGCAGAAATTTGAGACCCCTGGGATCATGCAGTTCACAAATGAGGAGAAGCGGACCCTACTGGCCAGACTTGTGCGCTCCACCAGGTCAGGGCTGCATTCAGGGTGTGGGCCTTGCATGGTGCACTTCCAGGAAAGCAGTTACCCCACTATCTGTGTGGACCTATCTACCATGGGTGGACACACCGTGGGTGGGTGTATTTGGGGTATGAGTGTGCCTTTACGTGTTGTGTGATTGGCCATAGTGACATGGCTCTAAGCTGTCATGGTTCCCTTCCAGGTTTGAGGAGTTTCTGCAGCGCAAGTGGTCATCAGAGAAGCGTTTTGGCTTAGAAGGCTGTGAGGTGCTAATCCCTGCCCTCAAGACGATCATCGACAAGTCGAGTGAGAATGGAGTAGACTATGTGATCATGGGAATGCCACACAGGTACCTGCCTGGCCTCTCACCTGTTCTTATCAGAAAGGACACTGAGCAGAAAATGAACTGGGTTCTCAGCATGCAGTGGTGCCATTTTTGCCCGACGTAACTGTTGCCACAGTCCACAGGCACAATCACACCCATGGCCACAAGTGGTTTCAGTCAGGCATCTGGGCCTTGTGCTCAGTCTTACAAAAGTTAAGCCCGGGCTCTCCCTGGTGGCACAGTAGGTTAAAGCACCACATTATGAGGCTCTCCGAAGCCACTGAAGCACAAGTTTGATGCCTAGCCAGGGAGCTGACCCACATGGCATGGCGGACCTCTCCTGACCCGCCTGCTGCTCCCCTCAGCAGTGTACTTCATCAGTCAGTCTGTTCTGCTCCCTACTCTGTCTCTGGTGAATCCTCTCACCCACCACACCTCTGGCCTATACCCCAGTTCTGTAAGCATAAATAAATAAATGTTTAAAAAAAAAAAAAGCCCAATACACTCCCCCCTTTTTTTCTTTTCCCAAATAATGTTTATTGATGTAAAGTTGGTTTATATTGTTGTATCTGCTTTTGGGGGGTTATGGGTTGAAACCTCTACAGGTATATCGTTTCACACCACGCCTACCACCGGTGTCCTGATAATCTTCCTTTCCACCATGCTCAGTTGGCCCCCCCTTTATTCCCCACTTCTACCCAACCACCCTTTCCTTCTGATTTCCTTAAATTTGCAGTCAGATGCCAAGGGTTTGTTATTAGTTTGTTTTTGACTGACACTTGTTTTGTTTCTCTATATACTGTATATGAGTGAGAATACCCAGTTTTTGTCTTTTTCCTTCTGGCTTATTTCACTTAGCATTTTTCTTTCCAGTTCCATCCATGTTATCACAAATAACAAGCGTTCATTATCTTTTATAGCTGAGTAGTATTCCATTGTGTATCTGTGTCTGTATACACACACACACACGTCACACTTTCTCATCTACTCCTATCCACGAGCACTTAGTCTGTTTCTATAACTTAGCTATTGTAAACAGCACTGCAGTGAACATCCCGTAAATTAGTGCTTTTGTATTCTTCATATCAATACCTAGGAGTGGAATTGCTGGGTCATGTTGTAGGTCTATTTTTAATATTTTGAGAAATATTTTTTTGTTTTGTTTTTATTCTTGCATAAAAGAACTGGGGTGTAGGCAGAGGTTGGGGTAGGGAGCTTGAGAGGATTCACCAGAGACAGAGTGGGGAGCAGATCAGGTAGATTGATGAAGTACACTGCTGAGGGGAACATCAGGCAGGTCAGGAGAGGTCTGCTGCACCATGTGTGGGTAGCTCCCTGGCTGGGGTCACACTCAGGCCTTAGAGGTGATAGTGCTGAGAATTAATCTCTAGGCCACCTGAGATGCCCAAACCTCCATATTGTTTTCCATAGGAGCTGAGCCAGTCTGCATTCTCAGCAACAGTTTATAAGGGCTCCTTCTCTCCCACATCCTTGTCAACACTTGTTGTTTCTGGTTTTTTCCATGTGGGCCATTCTCACAATGTAAATGTAGTTCATTGTTTTGAATTACATTTCCCAGATAAGTGATAAGCATTTTTTAGCGCCTGTTGGCCTATTTTGTCTTCTTTAGAGATATGTCCATTTATTTATTTAAAGATTGATTTATTTATGCATACAGACATAGGATACATGCCAGAAGTGCGGGAGGGTGGGTGGTGAGAGGATTCACCAGAGACAGACTGGAGAGCAGAACAGGCAGATCGATGAAGTACACTGCTGAAGGGAGCAGCAGGTGAGACAGGAGAGGTCTGCTGCCCATGTGGGTCACCTCCCCAGCCAGGGACCAGGGATCAAACTGGCATTGAAGGGCTGCAGCCAGCTTTGCAGTGCTGTGCTTTAACCTGTTTTGCCACCAGGGAGGGCCCCAATATGTCCATTTTTCTAGCTCTTCTATTCATTTTTTGATTTCTTTTTGTTGAGTTACAGGAATTTTTATATATTTTGAGCATTAGCTCTTTGTCAGATGTATTATCAAAATTTTCACCCATTAGTAGGGTGTCTTTTTTTTTTTTTTTTTTTTAATTGATAGTTTCTTTCACTGCAGAGTAAGGCCAGTGTCCTTAGCCGGTAATAGCAGACCTCTGACCTAGCTTAGAGGTCAGAACAGAGACTATGGGCAATGGCATTTCTGTTTTCACCTTTCTTCTTCCCACCTCGTGTGGCCTTGGGTGCTGATGAGAAGAGGCTGGATGCCATGTCCCACAGGGGAGGGAGGTTGAATGACATGACCAACTACCTAGAATGCCACACTAAGGCCCTTCTCACCCCTTTGTATCTTAGGGGGCGGCTGAACGTGCTTGCAAATGTAATCAGGAAGGAGTTGGAACAGATTTTCTGTCAGTTCGATTCAAAGCTGGAAGCAGCTGATGAGGTACCTAACTTCTATTAGAAACTTCCAGGGTGGTTTCAACCCTTTCAAGACCCCTGACCCCACATTCTTCTCTGGGAATACTTAATCAGGACCTAGGATCCTGCATCCTATTCACGAAGGAGGTGACTAGTGACCCACCTCTTAGAGAAAGAGGGCAGGCCCCAGGTCTGCAGCCTGGCCAACCCCAGAGGCCTCCATACTGGAGCAAGGGCCAGCCCCTCCGACCAAGGAACCTTTCCTTATCCTGTGCCCTGGGTGGGAGCAGTTCTGGGAAGAAGCTTTTTCGTCCTTACAGGAATGGGGAGTCTGGGAATAGAAATAACTCATAATAGGACTATTGCACAAAGTAAACCTCCCCCAGCCCAGGATAAAGACACAATGTTTGTGCTGCCAGGGTTCTGGAGACGTGAAGTACCACCTGGGCATGTATCACCGGCGAATCAACCGTGTGACAGACAGGAACATCACCCTGTCACTAGTGGCAAACCCTTCCCACCTCGAGGCCGCCGACCCCGTAGTGATGGGCAAGACCAAAGCTGAGCAGTTTTACTGTGGGGACACCGAGGGGAAGAAGGTAAGTTTCCCTGGGGCTGGCCAGGGGCAGGTCCTGGTATGTCTCAGACTTTGTTTCTGGAATTTAACCAAATATTTTTTTTTTCTCTCCCTCCCACAAATTTAACAAAATATTCCAAACAGATTTTGAAATATAATAATAGCAATAATAAAATAGTCATGCTTACAAACACGCTTTCTCCCAAGTTGTGACCACCAGAGCAAGCCAGGAAATGATTTGCTTTTGTCATCACCACATCTGTGTAGAAGCCAAATATTGTTGATGGGCAAAGAGGTATTGTCACTGAACAGGAGGAGAGAGTCTTAAGGAAAAAGTGAGGGTAAGTCTAAAGCAGGAACTGTAAAACTGGCAGATGTGCCAATAGCTGCCTCATCTTTGTCATGGAGGTGAGCTCATGGCACTTTTGGAGGTGGAGGACAGACGAGGTCCAGTGTGGCCCTGGAGCTGGCATTTCCAGGTGTGTGACGGTGAGCGTTCAGTATTGATTGGCCGGCCTGCTTGTGTATAGAAGTCCTTGCCTACTCTGAGGATCGAGGTCTGTAACAAGTTGTATGGTTTTTACTGCTTAATGGTGACATCAAAGCCAAGCTAAGCTATCACTAAGGTCATTCCTAATGTGTCTCTGACATCAGTTTCACGCCCTGCTGTCATGGACTTCTTGTGCTTTCTAGAGATAGGACCATATATGATGAAGCTGATAGACCAAACGCAGTATGATAATAAATCTGTAAGTTATTGGCATATTTATACAGTATAGACAGTGCACCCAAAAGTAGTCAAGCCTCTTGACAACCATCATATTCTGTGAAGGAACAGCAAGATTTGGGTAGGTGAGAAGGAAAGAAAGTACTCTAGAGACGAAAGATAGGAGCAAAGATGGAGGGTGGGTTGGAGGCCCTGTGGGCAGAGCAGGAGAGAGGCTCGCCCTGGGGAAAGGTCAGACTTTTACAGATGGAACCAAGAATTAGTTTACAGCATTCTATAATTTAAAAGTTCTGTAAGTCTACTGATACTATGCTATTACTCATGGAAGATTAGAAGAACTGCTGGTGATAGAGGCTGGGCTGGGGGTGACACTGGGAACAGAGCATGGTCCTTGCATTGGTTGACACCTGCTTAGTAAAGAGTGTGTCTGCTGGGGAGGAGGTCAGGATGTGGAGGTGACTCCCATGAGCTCGAAGGTGGACATTGCCAGAAACTCCAGGTCAAAGGAAAGGGGCCCCAGCTGCAGTACCTTCACCAGTGAGACAACTCGCTGGGTGGGACAGTGGGGAGGTCAGCATTGGCGACCAGGCACTCCAGTATTTCTGCCCCTGAATAGACCTGACTCTTGCGTTTACCGTTCACCTGAGCTAGTGAGTTCTTGGTTAAGACACGTGGCTGGGATTTTGAGATAAGTAGGAGAACTAGAAGAAATGAGATCATAAAAAACTTGTGTGACATTCATAAGTTATAGACAACGGTCACTCAGGTAGTGCTTACTTAGAATGCTTGAAATGTCCTGAAAAGGAATGAAATCATTGGAGAAAAGTAGTAAAAGATATAAAGTGCTTTTAAATGATCACTAGTCTTGTGATGTGCGAAGACAGAGAGCCTGGTCAGCCCTCTATGGTTACCACTTTGTTGTAGGGAGTAGTCACACTGGCCAGCATGCTGCTGCTGCCCCTCAAAAGCCCCAGGCCACTCTTCTCGCAGCCTCTCTGTAATCTTCCTAAAAACCCAGGCAATTTGATTTTCTTAAATCCAGAATTTAGGGAGCTGGAGCATGTTATATAACTTTCAGCATTGAAGAAAAATTATGTAATTCCTATAAATGTGACTGATGTTATTCAGTAGTAACCTTGTGCAAGGTTAAAACTGACCTAATGTGGCTCTGGGCTCATGTGGCCTTTGGGATGTTGGTGTGGGAAAGCAGCTCCCCACTGTGGCAGGATGGCCTGCAGCAGACAAGAGACCGGCTCCAACCAGGGTTCAGATCAGGCCACCGGGGTTTGCCAGGCAAGCGGAGCATAGGGGCACATGATTCCAGCAGCCAGCCCGTGCTGAAGGAACTAGGGGACAGCTGGGCAGCCTTGCAATGGAGACAGGGTGACCTCACAGAAAGATCAAGAGAAAAGGCCACCTTGAAGTACACGTGACAACAGAAGGCCAAGATTGTGCAGACAGCTCTGTAAGGAGGAAATGACACACCATGGCAATCAGAAAGAAACAACCTATCTCCTAGTGAGTTTCCCACCCAACAGGGCACCAAGCTGGGACCACTGTGGGGAGGCCTCTAAACAGACCGGACACTTGTGTTTGCTGTCCACCTGAGCCCGTGAATGTCCCTCATCCACCAAAACTGGAAACGTGGGGAGCCAAGGAGACACGTCACGAGGGCATCAGGAGTAGGGGTGGGCTGGGACGTGGGGGACACTAAGCAGATGTATAACGTGAGAGAGCAATGGGAGCCAAAGGTCTCACAGTGTAGGCGGTTTATCATGTTGGAAGGAAAAAGACAGAAAAAGGCTTGGATTGGAATTGGAAGTAGTTATGCTATGTCTCAAAGATACAGAAACCTCTGTGTGAATGGGTATACATCTGTTTGTATTTTGTTTATGCTGAAGGTCATGGAAGTGGTAATACCTTACTAGTGATGAGTACCTAAATACTGGTGATAAATGCCTTGCTCTACTGAAGGAGCAGCCTCCTTAAAGAAATGGCTAGTACCAGGACTGGGCAGGGTCAGCCCAATGTGAGGCTGAAATGTGTTGTTCCAGAAAGTGAGGCGTCACCTATGAACCATGGAATCTGTCCACATCTGGGATTTATGAGCACCAAACTGACTTCTGTCATGAATCAGCGATAACCTGTTGAATAAAATGGGATCCATGAGCACAACTGATATAAATAAATAAATAAAAGGCAAGAAGAAATGAAGTCTCTTTCTTGCAGAACACTAACAAATCAATGGCGGAGTGACACCTAGCAGCACTCAGGAGGTGGCCACTGAGGCTAGTGGGCAGAGGTCCACATGCCTCATGCCTTGGTGTAAGAAAACAGTGAGGTTAGAAAGAGAAACAGCAGATGACTGCTTATACCAGGCCCTGGAGTAGACCTCACTAGCCTGCGCAGGCCAGCTCGAGCACCGTCCCTGAGTCTAACCTCAAAGGACCTTCAGTACACAAGGATGTAGAGCCGGGAGCGACAAGGATCTGCTCCACACTGAAGGAGCTGGACCTAAGATGCCACAGCCGGAGAAAGTCTGGGCATGTTGTCTGAATAGAGACAACAGTGGATGGGGCTTGCATGGGTTGAGCTGGCCTTCCTTTCCTGAGTGGTGTGTTCGCGGATGATAGACATTGGCTCTGAGGCAGACCATGATGGTGGGGTGGGGGTGAAGACATGGGGCAGATGCACTGGACTGCAGGGAAGTCTGGGGTAGGCAGGGCAGGTTTGGGGGTCTTTGTGCTCTCCTATGAGTTTCTAAATTTGAAATGATCTCAAAACACAGAATATGCAAGCAGAGTATGACTCAGTCACTAATGCACCTCTGGCCGTGGTAGTCAAGAGTATGTTGGATTTAAGGTCTTCTTTGTGTTTCTGCAGGTCATGTCCATCCTTCTGCATGGAGATGCTGCATTTGCTGGTCAGGGCATCGTGTACGAGACTTTCCACCTGAGTGACCTCCCATCCTATACAACTCACGGCACCGTCCATGTGGTTGTCAACAACCAGGTAACTGGGGCTCCCTAGCAACAGGCAGACATTGAGGTCTTTCCGCGGTGAAGGGCCAAAGCCACAGAATCAGATTTCTGATCATACTTTCTCTTGAGGGTCCTATGCTCACAGCAGTCTTACTAAGAATGACATTTCTTAGTTATTGAAAATATTTGTAATTTTTTAATTATAAAAACATGTGTGCGATAAATAATTTGGACACAAGAAACTTTTTTAAAATAGATTCTAGTTACATCACTTAAGGTAGTGGAGGTGGTTTAGAATATTTTCTGTAGAGCATATAGAAACAGATTCAACATAAACTATTTCATATCCATTTCTTCCTTACCACATCATTTTTCATGTCATATTCTCAGCTATTAATTTTAATGGAAATGTCCATTATAATTATTTGAGAAAATAAACATTTCCATGTTGTTAGACCTTTAGGAGTCTTATTTTTTACTGTTTTAAATAATGCTGTGATTACAGGTTAGTACTTCTGCCTATCTCTGATATGTATCACTGTTATATCTTCAGTCAACTGAGGGTGTCTTGGGGTGCATCTCACCAACTTACATGAGCTTCCATGTACCTTTTAAGTACAGGCATTGCACTTGATATCAAAGAAAGCTGTGTTCCCTGCCCTCACCAAGCTTATAGTTTCATGCAGGGGGAGGGGGCCTAAAAGATACTAGGCTACATGTTTTATTGAAGATTTGGCCATTAATTGAAGAGTCAAGGTGAAGTAAACAAATACTAGGGAGATAGGTTAAGGCAGGGAAAGGGTTCCTATGTCCAAAGGAGGGGACAAGGTCATCCCAGCTAATGCGTGCTTGTATGAGAGGGAGCTCCCAACAGCCGGCTTCTGCAAGGCCCCCAAGTAAAGAGGAGCTTGCTCCAAATCCAGAGAAACTGAAGCAAGGGCATAAGAAATAGTCTAATTTGTAAAGGTGATTGTTTGCCACCTGCACAATGAGTTAGATGAGGGCAGAGAAACAGTTGTAGCTATGCCAGCAAGAAGTAGAGAAGAGAGTTTTAACACTAAAGTAAGTGTGGTTTTCACTGTGTAATAACTGCTGAAGAAGCTCAGATACAGATACAAAAAGAGATGACAGATAGTATGAAGCATGGATATGCACACAGTGTAACAGCTGTTTATAAGTGCCAGCTATGTGTCTGACACTAAATTAGGTACTTTACGGACTTAATCTAGTTGCTATATATGCATTAGGTGGTGTTAGTTCCCATTTTACAGAGCAGAAAATTGAACAGAGCAAACAGCTTGCTTGAGAACCAGTGTTTGATCATGTTTCCTTCGCATAATATGTGGAAGAATTTTGAGGTGGAGGGAGTAAGGGATTCACCACAGACAGAGTGGGGAACAAAACAGACAGATCTATTGAAATTCACTGTTAAGGGGAGCAGTGGGGGAAACAGGAGAGGTCTGCCACTCCATGTGGGTCACATGCAACAGACAGTGACCGCTGATAACTACATAGTGCTGAGACTTAAAGCCTTGGACCACAGGGAGGCCCAATATGAGGAAGACTGTTGAAAAAGTGCCAAGGACATGAAAAAATATTAATCACTTATCAGGGAAGTACTAATTAGAACCACATCTGTGGAAATGGCCATATTAAACACACACACAATAAATTCTGGTGAGGGTGTGAAGATAGAAGAACCCTCTTATACTAGAATGTAGGGATATCGGTAGGAGTGTAGCCTGGTCCAGACAGAGTGAGAAGCAGTGTGGAGATTTTTCAAAAGACTAAAAATGGATCTGCTATAATACCCAATATTCCACTCCTTGTATCTACCCAGAGAACACAAAAACACCAATTTAAAAGGAAACCTGCACTCCTGTGTTTCTGGCAGTACTATTTACAATAGCTAAGATATGGAAACAACCTAAATACCACAAAGCAGATGAATAGATCAATAAGATGTGGCATTTAAAAAAGAAAAAACGGAAGCTGTGGTATATAGACACAGTGGAATGCTACTTGGCAATCCAAAAAGATAAGATCATACAAAAATTAACCAAAAAAATTTTTTTAAAGAGGAACTTATACTATTTGCAGCAACATGGACAGAGCTAGAAGGGATTATGTTAAGCAATAAAAGCCAGAAGGAGAAAGATTAATACAGACTGGTTTCACTTACAAGTGGACTATAAAGAAACCAAACAAACACTCAAAGAGAAATTTAAAACCAGCCTTTGAGCAGCAGCTCTCCTGCCCACCTGTGACCAGGCAGGTGTTTCTCTTCGCCAGCCTTCTCTCTTTGCAAAGCAGCAGAGACAGCTCCTTCTGCCACTTGTGTTTGTGCAAGCATCCTTTACTTCCCTTCCCTTTTATAATAATTCTGTCCCTTTGAACAGTAAAAAGAAAAACTACAAACCTTGAAAGTTGACAATAAATCTGAGGCATCCAAGAGAAGCGGGAGTAAGAGAGCAAGGGTTGTGAACAGAATGGAGGCACAGCGCAGTGAGTGATGGTGAAGGTCTATAGGTGCTTTGATGGTGGGAGAGCTAGGGTGGCCACACCTGAAGGGAGAAATCCTGCACTGTCAGAAATGAACAAGGATGTAAGTGTCTCCCTGGTGTCCTAGGGGTTGTCTTAGTGTTATCACCTTTAAGACCTGAGTTCACCCCCAGAAAGGAAGCTAACCCACATATAGTGCAACACATTACTCCTTTCTTGCTGCTGCTCCCCACTTCGCTCCCACTCCAGTCATTCTGCCTGTTCTGCTCCCCACTCAGTCTCTGGTGAATCCTCTTACCTCCTACAACTCTGGCCTACAGCCCAGCTCTTTTTTTTTTTTTTTAAAGATTATTTATGTATGCATGTAAGAGCTAAGGTAAAGACCAGATGCGGAGGCCACGAGGATTCACCAGAGA